CACAGTCCAATCACAAGTCGCTGTTCCAAGGGACCCTACAAATGTCTCTAATCACACGGTGCTGTGATTGGCTGTGTCCAAATGCACCGTGTCCAAGTGCACCGCTCCCCGTTGGTATACGTACTGTTTCAGTACCTTGAGTTGGTACCTGAGAAATACGCGAGCGATACAAATGCGTACGTATCATTTCAGTCAAACCTGAGAATGTACGCACGCGATAGAAAAGTGTACGTATCATTTCCGTATCCTTGAGTGAAATCTGAGAACATTCGCGCGCGAAAGAAAACCGAATGATACTATAAATGACGTTCTAGCGTTCAACTTAGTACATCACAAATGATCACAGTACAATGAGTACGAAAATGGGATGATACGCAGTACGTTGCGTGCGGTTAAGGTCTATGCTGATGTGAGCTGCATTAAAAATATTGTACATGTAAATTGCAATGTAATTATTTCCAATAATATTAGGTGTACAACTTCGCTTCCGCCGTTTTTTTTTCCGAATTTCCGAGGCTTTATTGTAAAAAACGGGAGCGGTGCACTTGGACACGGTGCATTTGGACACAGCCAATCACAGCACCGTGTGATTAGAGACATTTGTAGGTTCCCTTGGAACAGCGACTTGTGATTGGACTGTGTCCAATTGCCCCGTGTCCAACTGATATACACCCGTAAAAAACTGGTTATACATTTATGATTCAAAGTATTATCCATCGCTGGCCATTACTTTCTCCCATCTTTCGGGCAGCGTACGAATTCCGCGTCGAAAAAACTGTTCATCTTTTGAGGCGATCCACGAATCGATCCAATTTGTTACTTCTTCATAAGACCGGAAGTGCTGGTCAGCCAGGCCGTGTGCCATTGATCGAAACAAGTGATAGTCAGAGAGAGCAACGTCTGGAGAATACGGCGGGTGGGGTAGGACTTCCTATTTCAACGTTTCCAACACAGATGTCTATATTAGTACTAGATCGCTAACTTTAGGCTTTGACGTATGGAAAGACTGAGACTGGCAGGATTTCTGGTTTCGGCTATGACAACCTACAACAAAATGGCCGTCCCCGCTATTACATGAAATGCAGTAAAATATTTTTATTTTGTATTTTTTTTATTTTCAATAAAATAACATTTTTCAATTCTAATATTTTAAAAAATATTTATAATATTTATAAAATAATAAAACATCTGCTAGGGACGTATAAAATAATAATAAAACATTAATATTATAGTAAAAAATATATTTTAATAAAAGAATTGCACAAAATATATTACTAAATTTATTAAAAAATAATTTATGTATTATTAAAAAGTGTTAATTTTGATAATTTTTGCCGTTTACTGACGGGATTTATTACATCTTTGGTTAATGTTTTAGAATATGAATACATTCTAATCGTTAAATATTTCCGACAAATCATATTTATTAATTGCAGGCGGTGCGGCATATCTATACCTATTTCGAATCCTTCGTAGCAATCGTTATTGTTACAAAATAAATCAGTATCTAACGCATATCTGCGTGTTACTCGATAAATTATTTGAGAAAACGCATTTTTATTTGGTAACGTATTTTTACCTTTTAACAATTGACGGAATTCTATTTCGGTTGCACAAACAATTTTGTATACATGAATCGATGCATACATTAAACCTCCCTTATTTTTTACATCAATTAATATTGTGTAACACCTGTTATATTGCCTATCGCCAACTTTTCTTGTAATGTTGGCAATGCAACCTTTATATGTTAATTGAACAATCATCTTTTTTACTATGAAACCTGTTATATAATATAATATGTTTTCTTGAAGGAAAATATTATCATTTATATTGATACGATATAGTTCTTCGTTTTCAGAGTCATAAAATAAATTGTTATTATTATCAGAATTGTTATTATTATCAGAATCTGTACTATCAATATTATCATGCCAATTATTAAAATTTTTTTCTTCGCCAATGTTAATTTAAACTGCACGTCGTTTTCTATATCAAAACCGGCACAATCAGCTTTTACTGATGCTGATATTGAATTTTTTACTAATAAACTTTTCATTGCTACTTTGAATTGTAACACACTAGGGTTGTTATTCCAACCATGTCGCTGTCGTATTTGCGCAAAAAATAATTCCAAGTGATCCTGACTGAATCTATATGTCATTAAGTATTTAAAATAAGGTTCTAACAAAATCTCTTTAGCTATTTTAAATATTGATTTGACAGCAGTCGCAAAACCTATAATAAAAGCTTTTCTTTTACTAGCACATAACTTAATGTTGCAAGGTCCCATTAGTGCATATAAATATCGAATTTTTTGTTCTATTCTTTGTTGTAAGAAGTTGATATTATTATAAAATATTGGTTTTTTAAATCCCTTTCCGAAAGGATTGCGTGAATTTAAAAAATCAAAAATTTCATTAATTGCCTTAATAAATTCTATTGTACCAGCACAATCTTTAAATTCTTCAACTTCTGAAAATTGCAGAAATTCCAAAGCAGCAGCAGTTGAAGAACTTAAAGTCTGTGCAGCAAGCTTTACTTTCATAATATTGGCTTTAAAATTTACATGCGCAGAACTAAGTTTATTTGCAAATTTTAAATTTAGTTTTTATTGAAGCTTATGTAAATTTGTTATATAATTCCAATTGATCTGCGCAGTGGGAGATTTTATAATTTTGAGATCACCAAATGCGTTCCGGGCAAGTTTTACATTATGGCAAGCATCGGGTATGAAATGCACATCACAATCAGAGCTGGGATGTTTAAATGTGCTTTTCAATTAATTGTAATTTGTCATATACAAATTGCAACCTAACAAATTCATTGTTGAATAGTTTACATAAGCTCCATCACACGTAACACTCCATACCCGAATACCCAATTGTTGTGACATTATTAATGCTGTTTTTACCAGCAGTTCTGTTTGCACTGCAGTTTTATCCACAAGAAAATAACCTACAGGCCATTTCCATGTTCCTCTAAGAGAAAGCAACATGAAAACGAGAACTTCAGTGGCTTCAGTTTCCGTAGCTTCGATAGATAATCCATTGCCATATTCGCATAATCCGACAAATTTTTCAGATGTTGCATCCCACAGCACTTGCTTCCGAATCGCCATCGAATCAAGTTGCAATGGCGCAAACCTTCTGGAAATTTCGATATTTCTGTAACGGCCTTGCGTTACGTGCGGGTTAGTCTTAGCCGATGTGGTCCGGGTTTCGTTTGTAAAATGAAAACCAATGGTATAGGTTATAATAATGTGGAACTATATTCTAATTTCAATGCTATTTACAATTATTTACAGGCTACGTTACGCCGTTGGAGCGTGATCGCGTTTTTGCTCTCGTCGGGAGCCGTTGTTGTCGTCTCGCGATCAGCTGCGAGCGTCGAGGCGCGCGATCGTCCGGCGGGACGCGGTCGGGATTGTTTCCTGATACGCTATTGTTCGTCGTTCGGAGTTCGTTGCCTCGTCGGCTTTAATCTGTTTATTTATCCTGGTTTTCCTGGCTGGTTTAAAGGCGCTCGTCGTCACCGGTATCTTACGCTCTG